AAAAAAAAACAAATTTACTTAATAAAAAAAACACTGGTACTTAAGTATTTTTAAAACAATATAAAAAAAAAAAAAATAGTAAAATTATATTATTTCATTTAAATGGTACTCCCTGAAACATTTACTTTTCCCATCTAAACACAAATGTTGCTTGCATTTTGAGCAAAACATATGCGTTCTACGAGTACACGTCTTCAGTTTACATTTAGTGGCATTTTTTAACTCATCAAAATCTGGTAAATGATCCACCGTATCAAGACGAAGTTCATTTGATGGCTGCTTGCCATCAACTTTTCTATTTAATGAAGGCGGAGAAGCTTTTTGGGGTGGTTCATAATCATCTCTTGTACAAGGACGTCCTTTTTTTCGTTTAGGCGTAGTTGGTTTTCCGACATTTATTAACCCGTTAGCCAGTTCCATTCGAAAATGTAAGAGATCGTATCTTTTATTTTTTTGTATTTTAAAATATTCAACGTCTTTTATGTACGTTAGCCAGCAATTTGCGGCAGTCATGTCATAAGCATGAGCAATCATGCGTAAAGTCCATTTTCGTGATTTAATAAATGTTCGATAATAACTAATTAATTTGTCCATATTATCAACGCCACCCATAGATTTATTATATTTTTGTACTATCTCAGGTCTTTCGACATCGACATAGGTTTTATTTTTCTTATCCCAACGTCTGACAACATCTGTATTTCCAGATGTAATAAAATTCGATGCCAAATTTACTACTTTGTTGTCATACCATTGTACAAGACCTATATTACAACTAGGTACATCAGAACGAACTTCAAAAGTAGTCCCTCTTCCAATTTTTGCCAAGTTTTTATCCGAAAGTATTGGGTTTTGCAAACCGATTAACACGTATCGTACCAGCGGCACAAATACCTATTTGCTGCAAACGTTCAAAAAGATTGAATGATGAAAAATAATTGTCGAAGTAAAGAAAATGTTTATTTTTTTTAACGATTTTGCAAAGATGCAATACGACTCCTGGACCTTGACCAAATTGTTTTTGAACTTGTGAATCAATTTCGGTATTAGCACCTTGATATAGCACAAAGTCGTATACAATGCCACCTTCGCCACATAACACAAAAATTTTAATACCCCATGGGTTAGGTTTATTTCTTATATATTGTTTTATTGATAAATGGCCCTTAAAAGGGACCATTTGTTCGTCAATGCAAATATTCCTCTCCATAGGAAGAGAATTACATTTTTTTTGAATTGTATCGTATAGTGGTCGAATTTTTATAAAAACATCTTTATTGCCTGGTGGTATTGTCATATTATCAATAAAATGAATATTTGATCGAATTGAAAAAAAACGATCTCTTGTCATATTATCTGCAACAAGAGGTACGCGAGTATCTTTTTCCCAGTACATACGGACACGAGGAAGCTTCAGCGATCCCATTATAATATGAATACCGATTACAATTTTAATTTCATCAGCAGAAGTTGGCTTAAACCTTGTTTGAGATTTTTGGATTGCGTATAAATTAGTGAAATAAGAAATTTGTTCAAAATAATTTTTATCAAAATATTCTAAAAAATATTGCATTGGCGTTTTTATAAGACTAGGAACTGTGTCATCTAAACTATCTAATTTTAAAATCGGTGGATTAAATGGCAGGCTTACCCATTTTATGTCTTTTTTATTTGTTTGTATTATAATACTGTCATCATCTTCTTCGATGGCTTCTTCAATGTCACTTGAAGCAAACTCCACCAAAAGATTATCTAACTCTTCGTGTGGAAAGTCGTCAATTTCATCACCAGATGAATTATCAATTTCCGAATCATAAAGTATCGATAAAATGTCAGAAGACCGTAATTTTGACATTTTGATTATATATTATTTTATTATAACAAAGAAATACACAAAATAAAACCTTTATATGGTAATTATTTCTATAAACGATATAAACGCGGTAATGATATAACACGAAATAAAAATAGAATTATCATGTATCACATGTTTTTTTTTATATCATGGAGGCCTAGCGTACACGATAGTGTACCTCCATATTAACTGATATAAAACTCGTAAGATTGTATTCATGATAACGAAAAACGTTTGTATAGATTCGTTACTAACTTCACTACCAGGAAAAAAAATACCGTTGGTCTTATCAAGTGCAATATAACAGATAAGCAATAAATCATCGTAGAAATGTAATTATCGATATTATATCTAGAATTAAGTTATAAATATCATTTTTATCGGTTGTTATTCTTTCTAATACTATTTATATCGGGTTTATATCGGGTTATATGTATACTAAAATAAAATTCTCGCTTGTTCGAACTAATATGTTGGCAAGCAGTGGCGGCGTAAACTATTTTATTTCATGAGGCAAATATAGAAGCTAGAGGTTAACCACCACCACCTAAATGTCATTACACAGACCCGTGGGGGCTATGCCCCCACACCCCCAATTTACAATTCTGCAACAATAATATACTTTGTCGTGGTAGCTCTGAATTAAAGTTTTAAGTAAAAATTACTTATGTTTATGTTCCTCATACCTCATATAAATTATTATGATAACCATCATTATTTTGCTAACCATGAATCTAAGGAAACAATTACTGGACTAACAACTCAAATACCGAGACAAATGAACATATGACTAATAATCAAAAAAAAAATTTTTGTTTTGTTAACTATGTTGTACAATTATATTTATTTGAAAATTAAATTATCTTTTAATAAATCAGAGGATAAAGCAAATTGATTAATGGCTGCATTATAGTCAATTGGTATATCTTTTTCACAACTTAATATCATGAGGCTCTCTAATCTGTGTTGTTCAGTTGTTGAACGTAATCTTGTTTTGATTAGTTTTACCTTTGAACAAAAATAAAAATTAGGATCAATTATAAAATATATAGTTAATAGAAAGAAAAATAATTAAATGGCTATTACTTTGGAAAATGCTCGTTCTGCAGAGGCAGAAGCTGCTGGAATGGTAAGGAGTGCCATATAGGCTATGTATAAGTTTGGGAATGCATGTCTAATTCCAAAATTTGATATAACTTGAAACAATTGATCAGTTGTTAATGTTTCTTTAGAATTGATACAATCATTTTCACTTAAGCTTGATTCTGTATCAGTACTGTTACAACTATCATTGTCCAGTGGGTTGTTTTCAATCTGATGTAGTTTATTGGGCACAAGTCCATCTAATAAACCTTGTAATGATTTAGTAAACATATAATATTCTGTTCTTAAATTACTAGGATCTATACTTGGTAGCCACTTCCCTATATCTTCAAAAGCGTCTTCTGGTAATTTAGGACCATTATTTGAATAAAATAAAATTCGCTGCGGTGATAATAAACTTAGGTCCTTTAGAATTTCTTTGGCTTCACAAAATCTAGTGGAAATGGCGTTTATTATTGTGTCCAAAACTACAAAGTACACAGTGGTTTTGTAACGTTCACTTGCTAGCATTACTGTTTCATCCATTGCTATTTCTCCTGCCATCTGTTTTTTACGTCTATGTCTGATTTCTCTAAAGTCAACTTCTGTTAGATTCTGATTAGATGAAAAAGTTTTGGCTGCGTTCACTAGGCTCATAAATCCTTCATCACTTCTCATATATTGAAAACTTTTCTGTGCTTCGTCTATAAGTACTAGAGCTTGGATAAAATCTAAATTTTTTGATTGAAGGCATTTTGATAAAGGTGTGGTTATAGAAAAAATGGATTTCATTAATTCCATTGATATTATAAACTT